ATAACGTTGCTTTAGAGAAAAATAGCAATTACGAGAGAAAAAAAGAAAAGTTGAAATGATGAAAGAGAAAGGAAAATATAATTTTTACGGAACTAAAGTAACATGTCAACTTTGCGTAATATTCATCTTCTTTATTATTTATGCCAATTAATAAAATAATGTTTACGAGATGGAAAATAATCATTACAAAATTAAAGCATTCAAATGTATACTCTAATTGCAAAAAATATATTTGTTTATACGTTCCATTTTGATACAAAATTATATGAATTATAATATATAAATTTTCTATAAATTTTTTGTGATGATATTCTTTCTATCTTATTTTATAATATCTCGAACAAGTTTTTTCTCCCTGTAATATATCGTATATGAATTAAAGGCAACGTGGTTCGACTCTTACTTGTAATTTCTATTTCTCTGAAAAAAAAAGCTTGTTGGAGAGATTCTAAGAAATGTCGATATAGTTAGAACGCGAGTTATAACACTCTGTACAACGAAAGTGACGGTTACATCGATCGTTTCGATAGGTGATCAGGGAAAATTGGAACTTGAAGTATAGTGCCTGCTTTGTGATTTGCCCGTTGCCGAAAGAATCGGCCACGATCGACAGAGTGCCGGAAACGGTGAGCGTGGTGGCCAGGCTGAAAGCATCGCCGACGAATCGCATCCTGGTTCAAAATCGGCCTGAAAATAGAGCGAAGAACAAAGAAATGTTGGCCGTTTGCGTGAAACCCCTGCATTACGATTACAACAGGGTATGTAGTAGAATTTTTGTTAGAAATTCAATTTATTATTTAAGATATAAAATTTTCACATTCGAAAAGTAATATAAATTTCGAAATAGATCGATTTTTCGAGCTTACTTATCAAAAACATACGAATTCAGGGAATAAATATACGTAAAATAAATTTTAAAACAAATAGATAATTTTAGAATAATTCACCGATTATTAAAAATTTATAGATTCGAAAAGTAATATAAATTTCGAAATAGATCGATCTTTCGAGTTTACTTACCAAAAACATACGAAATCAGGAAATAAATATAGGTAAAATAAATTTTCAGATAAATAAATAATTTTAGAATAATTTATTGATTATTAAAAATTTATGATTGAAAAAGTAAAATATAAATTTCGAAATAAATCGATCTTTCGAACTTACTTACAAAAAACGTAGGAATTCAGGAAATAAATATGCGTAAAATAAATTTTCAGATGAATAAATAATTTTAGAATAATTCACCGATTATTAAAAATTTATAGATTCGAAAAGTAATATAAATTTCGAAATAGATCGATCTTTCGAACTTATTTACCAAAAACATACGAATTCAGAAAATAAATATACGTAATAAATTTTTAGACGAATAGATAATTTCAGAATAATTCATCGATTATTAAAAATTTATAGATTCAAAAAGTAATATAAATTTCGAAATAGATCGATCTTTCGAACTTACTTACCAAAAACATAGGAATTCAGAAAATAAATATACGTAATAAATTTTTAGACGAATAGATAATTTCAGAATAATTCATCGATTATTAAAAATTTATGATTCGAAAAATAATATAAATTTCGAAATAGATCGATCCTTTGAGTTTATTTACCAAAAACATGAATTCAGGGAATAAATATACGTAATATACGTAAAATAAATTTTCAGATGAATAAATAATTTTAGAATAATTCCCCGATTATTAAAAATTTATGATTCGAAAAGTAAAATATAAATTTCGAAATAGATCGATCTTTCGAACTTATTTACTATTACGTTGAAACATAAAGAAAAGGCACGACACTTCGAAGTGTACACGATGTAATAATAATGTATTAACGAATGAAAAATTTGATAGGTATTACAACTCATAGAGTTCATCGAGTTGCACAGACTGCTTGGCGCTAGCCACGTGACTTTATACAACGACACGGTCGGCAGTGAGGCCGGATGCGCTCTCAAATATTACGAAGCTAAAGGTCTGGTGACCGTGTTACCTTGGCACCATTTGGACATGATCTCGCAGCGAGACATTCGCACGGAAGGATTGTTTGCTGCCCTCAACGATTGCCTTTATCGATCCATGTACAGATACGAATACGTGGCGCTGGTGGATCTCGACGAGTTCATTATACCCAGGCACAACGACACTATCATTGATCTAATCAGGTGAGAACCCCTTCATTTCTTTCATATCGCTCATAAATCTTGAGACAATTATTCTATTCACTTCCTTAAATTTATGTAATACCAAACAAAATTATTTTTGTCTCCATTACATCAAATTCGATATTCAATTCAAATAATAAATTATTAAAAAAAAATATTAAAAAAAAATTTTTTTTATATTTAATTAATTAAAAAAAATTTAAAAATATAAAGTAATTAAAAAAAAAAAATTCCAGATGGATGAGCAGTCGCATAAACGCCAAAGCCACCGGATCGTATTCCTTTCAAAACGCGTTCTTCTACCTTCAATGGGCGGACGACCCGTTCGTGGTGACCAGTCGCACCCCCATAGAGGCCGGTTTGATCACGTTGAAGAAAACTAGGCGCAGAACGAAGCTACACCCCCACAAACAGCGGTCGAAATACGTTTGCAAGCCCCAGAACGTGGTCGAGGCTGGAAATCACTTTGTATGGGAGTTCATCCCAGGACACGGGACTCTGAATGTTCCATCGGACGCAGCGATTCTCCACCATTACAGGGTCTGCGAGTTTGGCGGCGATGATTGTATAAAGACTCAATCGGTAGTCGATAGAACGGCCTACAAATACAAGAATAGATTATCGGATAACGTTGGGAAAACCTGGTCCGACCTAAGCGGCGAGTGCTCGTTACCCAAATTGGAACCAATTCCGGGTATGACGCCACGGATAAAAGCGAGCCCCAAAGTGTTGAAGTCGGTCAGGTAGCGAAAGACCATTGTCGATACTCTTTGGGATATTGGTAATTTCACTGGTACACCGAAGGTAGCGAGAACATATTTCTACAACTACGGTGGCCCGTAGTTTTCCCACTAGGACGGCCATTGCCTCTCGAAGAGAGAATGTTCCAATGGAGATTCGGGATTTGTATAGGATTTGCCATCGTAATAAACGCGTTTTTTCTACCTTTTTGCGGTCCACACGCCTGACGAATAATCTCGTTTAGAAAACGCGGAGAGGAAAAAAAAAAAAAAAAAATAAAAAAAAAAAAAAAA